GCTGTCTTTGACTACTTTTCAGGTGTAGGCTGGGCCTTCACAGCCGTCTCCGTCACCGCTACCAGATGGGGGAAATAGAATCAGGAGAGAGGATGTTAATCTCGATGCTCGGATGATAGCGGGTGCCAACGTCACAAATTCGTCAGGAAAGATTCTCACTCTTGCCCTGTGAGTGTTTAAATTTCCCACCCCCTCCTTCATTATGTTTCCGAGGAATTTAAACTGTCTTTTCAAGATTCTGAGTGAAATTCATCTTTCTGTTGCTATTTTCGTTAAGATTTCACCGTTGTTTACTTGCTCCGTCCATGGAATTTTCAGTTATCCTTCTGTAGAGAAACATTTCTGCTGCATCTAGTTTTTTTTTCCTCATCCGTAGGACAATTGTCTAACATTTACTGCCACATAAGATATCAAATAGCAATTCAGCATTCTTTTCTTTGTTTCTAACGAAAGCTTTCCGTTTCTCAGCACCTTGCTTAGCTTTTGGAATGCTTCTTTCACAAGTCCAAGGCGTACTTCGGATCTCGGTGTCACATTTTCTAAAAAACGTTTTCCAGATATTTGAACTTCAGCACTTGTTTGATGTTGATATCGCCAATTCGTAACTCGCATCTTGGGCTTTTTCTCTTGCTAATGACTGTGCCTTTGTCTCGTTGAAGTTGACGGTCCTTTTTTATATTTACTGTGTTTATGTTTCGTTTTGGTTTACTTTCAATTAATTGTCATTGAACGGTAGTATTTGAAGAAACACCCAACTGGAAGGTAGCAAATTCCAGTCAGGTTATATTCTGAATAGTCAGTTACACGCCATGTGACGAGCTGTACAGTCATGGGCAGAGTTTCAAGGGCAATCGGAGAGTGTCGCATTCGGAGTCACGGTTAGAGTAAAAAGAGATGTAGAAAAGGATATAGACAATGTTCTCAGTAACCGGAGGAGAAAGTCTGGTCCGTTAATCTGTCGTGAGAGAAGACAGAAGTAGCAGCGAAAACCACTTAACTACCTCCAGACACTGAGCCTTTTCCCAGTTCCGATCGCAGCGAGACACATGCTTGAATCAAACCAATATATTGGGCAGAAACTGTACATTCGATGAAAAACTATTGAGAAACCCGTTCGTATATTTACATTATTATTTCTTTTTGTCGCGCGTGCACAAAATACTAGGGAAATTGTTTGGCAAGCACAAACAACACACCGGCTACATCCCTTGTACCTCATTGTGCATAAACATTTCACGCTTTTTTCATTGAAAGTTTCATCAAGAACTTCGAGACTGCGATTTCATTAAGACTTTGGCGCGTTAATCCAAAATAAAAAAAAATCCGTTCTGGTTATGACGATAAACTACATCCGCGTCCTGGGTAAGACGATAAACTACATCCGCGTCCTGGGTAAGACGATAAACTATGTCCAACAGTAAGGCCTCTAATCAGGAGGTTTTGAGGAGCATGGAACCACATCTTAATTGTTGGTGTTCCCAGAGTGGTAGCACTTGTGAAGGCCTCAGTTATGGTAAATAGTTAACACCCAAACTGGGCTCAAAACACTATGAAAGTGTAAAAATAGTTTTTAATACCAGAAATACTTTGTCAAATTTATTACCAGAGATACATTTTTGGAGAAAAAATATTACCAGAAATAGATTTTTGAAAGAAAAAAAATATCACCAACAATACATTATTGAAGAAAAAAATATAACCAGCTATAAAAATTGTCGGTATTTAATAACCCATTGTGGTTGACATGCCGTAAAACAAAACAAACCAAAACAAAGAAAATCAAAATAGATTTATTTTAATTAGCACGATTTTTAGCTTGCTTTGAAGTTGCACACCAAGAAATATATTTATATTCGAATTAATTATTTTTAAAGTAAATATATTTAAAATATCAAAAAACTACTGATACAATAATGGGTAAACATTAGGAAATACTTTAAATGAACCTGGTAACGCCTATTTTTTGTCGGTCTGTTCAGATTAAAACTCAGCAACCCATCTTAATGAAGAAATGCCTACAGGGAATAAGACACTTAACAATGTGAATAAACAACATTAGAATTAAGAATGCTCCCCGAAAGAAGCATTGAACAGTTTATTGGTAATGGCAATGGTAAAATTAACCGATTCCTTATAAGGAAACATTCGGCATTCATTAACCGAACAGTTAACGTTTTCATCGGTTGAAATTTATAAAACATTTTTACTTGAAGCCGTTTTTTTTTCAAGAATTTAGCCTTCTCAAGTCGCTCTTTCTTGTATTGATGAATGTTTTTGTGGTTGAAGAGAAAAATAAAAAAATAAAATGTATTGACCCTCAGAGGGATTGAGCTCACAACCTTCACTCAACCAGCTAAAAGATTTTAGCTTTTAAATGAAATGTCGCCTCTGTTGACTGGAAAAAGTCCACTCAGTGGAGCTGACTTCTATAAAATCCAAGATTTTTTCTTTAGAGTCAATTTTTGTTTACCTGGAGAAGCTATACCTGCCACCGCCATCACAACTAAAGATCTTTACCAGTTGCTCGATTTCTAATAAACTAGAGTGTTGAGTAGAAGAAAAGGGAAAAGGAAAAAGTTATAACAATCAAAGACTATTAGTTAATTTAAATTTCGACTATAGTTTCCTTCCAAACCTTTTGTTTTGTGTAGTGTGGAAAGTTAATAGCTTGATTATGTCATCATTTTTTTCTTCTAGTTACGTGTTCTACCCATTTTAGCTGTCGAAGCTGTTGAAAGTCTTCAAGCGATGTGGTTTTTGCTATTTCGTAAAGTCGTTTGTTTGGGATTCTGTAGCGCCAGTCTATAAGACCTGATGATGTATTGCCTATTTAAAACCTACAGAATTCATTAGCACGAACTCCATTAAGACTTAGAGATGTAATTATAAATTTGAGCAACATGTGAAATGATTTCCCGTGTTCAAACGTCACCTATTAAAAAAAGCAAGAAACTTTTGTTCTAATCAAATATTATAATAATAATAATTATTATTATTATCATTGTTATTGTTGTTGTTGTTGTTGTTAAAATCCTGACCTATACTTTTTAGAACATACCATTGATATTTATTTCCTCTATTTATGAATGGATTTATTTTCACAGCTGTCGTTCCCGTCTAATCTGCTTTGAAATCCTGGATCAGTTGAAACATCGACGATAGACTCCAAAAGTTGTAATTGATTTGATAATTAATCAGTCCATTATATAACTATCTTGATCCAAAATATTTTCGCACCAACTGCTGCTACAGCTTCGCCACTGATCAGCAGCGTCTTTTTCCTCCTTTTAAACAGCCGCCATCTTAACTCATATCCTACTGAAATAAGTTTAAAATGACGCTTACCTCTTTTTTTTTCATATATTGTGATCATTTTGCTTAAAATTCGTATTTTTTTAAATTTCAGATAAAAACTTTTCCATCATATTTCAGTGAAACTTAAAAACCCACCCCTTTCTTGCTGAAACTGAGAACAGAAGAGTATATTTGTGCACTTGGCCTCAACATATAACAATGCGAAATCATTCATACGCTTGCGAGGCCTGGACTCTGTATCGTCGGAACATCAAATGTCTAGAACGGTTCCAGCAAACGACTACCTGAAGAATCCTTCGTATCATTTGGGAGTACCGCATCACAAACAACGAGGTCTTCCCTCGGACATCTCTCTGCAGTATCGAGGCTACCATCCTTCAACATTGTCCCCGCTGGACGGGTCACGTGTCCTAAATGCATCCCACACGACTCTTATGTACATTCTTGTTTGAAGGACTAGCAAGAGGCTATGCGGAAGCTCAAAACATTTCTGCAAGGATCAATTGAAAACATTTTGGACACAGGCCAACACCAACCCTGACACCTAGTATAACATTTGCTGCAAATGGCGTAGGATCATCTAAGCTGGGGACGAGACTTTCGAGCCCAATCGTCAACATGAAGAGGATCGGCGACGTGCTATCAGGAGAGCCCAACTAACCCAGCCGCGTCTACCACCCACCTGCTCAGGACTCATCAGGGGTGGGCTGTGTCTTCACAGCCATCTTCGTCACCGTCACCAGAGGAGAGAAAGGGAATAAGGAGAGAGAATGGCGACTCCAATGCTTGGATGCGAGCGGGTGCCGACAACGAATATTATTTGCCTAAAAGCATTGCTACCATCAATTTTCAAAATAAGGAAACTTCATTTTCGTCAATGTTTTATATTCTTGAAACGCTAGATTCTAAAACTTTGTATAAGTTTTACAGGCGGAAAATTATATATGCTAATTAATGCATAAATAGCAGGACACAGCCTTTAATCTTAGATGTCAAGCAATATGTATGTGTTCATCAACTTTCGGATATTTCTGGTGACTGCTAAGAGGCATCCTTTCTGAAACAGTTCCACTGGACAATTAATGCCAATTTTCTTTATCAATGTCTCCATTCTGTCAGTCTCCGTACCAAACGCATCACATCACAATTGGTGTGATTGTGACCTTCAACTTGCTAAGCTTTGCGTGTTCAAACTTTAATGAATCATGGTTGATTACTTTCTAGTCTTTCTTTTTCTATATTCTTTCATCAAACAGACACAATGATCAACCGTTTATCTTCCACAGATATAGTTATTTTCTAAGCGCTGCTTAGATGTGGCACAAGGCCGGAAATATGGAGCACCCAGTGATGATCGAACTCACTATTCTAGCGAGACAAGCATGCTGATCATTACACCACCCCGAGGTGCCCATCTTCCACAAATATATCTGGTTTGTCGTAATCCAGTCTATATAAGAACAATTATTATTAAATTTTCCTTAAAAATTCTTTGTTCGCTCATGCATCCAAATCCATCCCTTGGAGTTACGGCTCTCATGAATGTGTGTTAGATTTATTTCATGGGTAGAATCCTCTTTAATATATGATCTTTATACACTTCTTGCATTTTGATGGCGTATTTTCTCACTCCTTACTTGAGTGGATTAAGAACGACTATTACGGGTGGTATTGTTGCGGTCATCATGTCTCACATTCTCTCGATTTCTATTTCTGTATTTTTCAGAAAGTTGTCTCTCTCGACTGAGTAGACATGTTGATAATCTGACAACTTCTTTCTTTCCTTTTATTCACTACTTATCAGATCTGTTGGCCTTAATTTATTTATCGGTCTGGATTGGCAGTTCTTCTTCTTCTTCTTCATCATCATTATTATTATTATTATATATACTTATTCCTCCCGCTCATCCATATATTATTCAGTACAATCCCATACCGGGTCGTTAATTGATTTCTAGGTTAAGACAAGGTAGTAAATATATGCATTCTGTTTGCAAAAATTGATTGATTGATTGATTCAGTCATTTTTTACGGTTTGTCAAACTTTTTCAGGTCAGAAAATATTCTTAGATTGTAATAATATTTCTTACTAATATTTCTTACTAATTAACCCATAGCTGGGGAGAGAAGAGATGGATTCATACCTTTCTCAAGTGTATTTGCGTGTATGTTAATATAACGAACGTAACTCCGATTAACAATTCCGAGTCATTATTCATTATATCACACGCTCATCCAAGCTTATAACACCTAATCTTCCCAAGCGGTTACTCATCTAGGTACAGAACAGGCTCAACGTTGCTTAACTTCGGTGATCTTACGGGAACTGATGTTAATTAGTTCTGATATGAAATGATACTTAGCATGAACAGTTCATCTTAACGTGTTTTTCTACACCTTTCTTTACTGTACTCAGACTCCCAATTATTATAGCTATAACAGTAGCTTCTAAGGCGTCACGTTTTTCAATTTCAATATCCCTATATATAACTCGGTATCTATGCCGATGACACAACTATTTAACCCTGTCTCGATAGTAAGTTTGATCAGTTCGATAAGGTCAAATTAGCAGCTTATCTAAAAAATAGCTTACACTCTGCTATTAACTGGGGCAAGGAATAGTTTGTTAATTTTAATGCCTCCAAAACGAATCCTCTATTAATCATTTGAGAGGCTCTTTTTTGCCTCCCATCTGCATGGCTGATGCTAACCTCCAAGAGAGTGACTCGTTGAGACTAACATACTCGACTCACATGAAGTGGAAAGATTATATTGAATCCATTGTTAGGTCTGCTGCTAGTAAAGTTAGTTCACTGTGTCGTGCCAGACAATTTTTCTCTCCAGAATCTACCTTACATTTTTATAGGTTTATCATTCGTCAGTGCTTTGAATATTGCTGCCACATATCGTCTGGTGCTCCTGCTATATATTTAGAGGTTATTGATAAAATCCAAAGAATTGGCAATATTATTGGTCCTGACCTGGCATCTTGGCTTCAGTCACTTTCACAATATTATTCTGATATTGTTTTTCATGGTTGTTTTAAATATAATTTTTCTTATCTCGAATTTTTATTAAATGAATCATTATCAGTCATTATTAATCTTTGACTAGTGTTCCTTTTATCTTAATTCCAATTGTATTTTATCTAATAGTATCACTACGAGCAATAGTAATTGTTTATTCGATGAAGGAAGGGTGGGGTTTGAGTGTGAGAGAATATGAGAAAAAGAAAACATTATTAAGGAGAGAGAGAAATAAGTGAATAGAAATAAAGAAGACAGATGATAACGATTAATAGTGCCTTTAAATTTTTGAAGGTCAAAGTTGATTGGAAGGTAAAAGGACGGAAGAGAGTTCCACAAGCGAAAAGCCTACTTTTATTAATTCCCCCCCTTCTCCTAGTATTTGTTTCCCTCTTCCACCAGTATTTCTCCCTCTCATATATTTATTTTTCTCCCTATATTTATTCCTCCCATCCACATATTTATTCTTCTCCCTCTCATCCACATATTTATTTCTCCTCTCCTTTCTATATTTATTCCTCCCACTTCTTCCAGTATTTATTCTTCTCCCTCTCATCCACATATTTATTTCTCCCTCTCCTTTCTATATTTATTCCTCCCACTTCTTCCAGTATTTATTCTTCTCCCTCTCATCCACATATTTATTTCTCCTCTCCTTTCTATATTTATTCCTCCCACTTCTTCCAGTATTTATTCCAGTATTTATTTCTCCTCTCTCTCATCCACATATTTATTTTCTCCCTCTCATCCTATCCTTTCTATATTTATTCCTCCCACTTCTTCCAGTATTTATTCTTCTCCTCTCATCCACATATTTATTTCTCCCTCTCCTTTCTATATTTATTCCTCCCACTTCTTCCAGTATTTATTCTTCTCCCTCTCATCATCCATATTTATTTCTCCCTCTCCTTTCTATATTTATTCCTCCCACTTCTTCCGGTATTTATTCTTCTCCCTCTCATCCACATATTTATTTCTCCCCCTCCTTTCTATATTTATTCCTCCCACTTCTTCCAGTATTTATTCTTCTCCCTCTCATCCACATATTTATTTCTCCTCTCCTTTCTATATTTATTCCTCCCACTTCTTCCAGTATTTATTCTTCTCCCTCCTCATCCACATATTTTTCTTTTCTCCCTTTCCTTTCTATATTTATTCCTCCACTTCTTCCAGTATTTATTCTTCTCCCTCTCATCCACATATTTATTTCTCCCTCTCCTTTCTATATTTATTCCTCCCACTTCTTCCGGTATTTATTCCTTTTCTATATTTATTCTCCCTTCTTCTCATCCACATATTTATTTCTCCCTCTCCTTTCTATATTTATTCCTCCCACTTCTTCCGGTATTTATTCTTCTGCCTCTCATCCACATATTTATTTCTCCTCTCCTTTCTATATTTATTCCTCCCACTTCTTCCAGTATTTATTCTTCTCCCTCTCATCCACATATTTATTTCTCCTTCTCCTTTCTATATTTATTCCTCCCCACTTCTTCCGGTATTTATTCTTCTCCCTCTCATCCACATATTTATTTCTCCCTCTCCTTTCTATATTTATTCCTCCCACTTCTTCCAGTATTTATTCTTCTCCCTCTCATCCACATATTTATTTCTCCCTCCTTTCTATATTTATCCTCCTATATTTATTCCCACTTCTTCCAGTATTTATTCTTCTCCCTCTCATCCACATATTTATTTCTCCCTCTCCTTTCTATATTTATTCCTCCCACTTCTTCCAGTATTTATTCTTCTCCCTCTCATCCACATATTTATTTCTCCCTCTCCTTTCTATATTTATTCCTCCCACTTCTTCCAGTATTTATTCTTCTCCCTCTCATCCACATATTTATTTCTCCCTCTCCTTTCTATATTTATTCCTCCCACTTCTTCCGGTATTTATTCTTCTCCCTCTCATCCACATATTTATTTCTCCCTCTCCTTTCTATATTTATTCCTCCCACTTCTTCCAGTATTTATTCTTCTCCCTCTCATCCACATATTTATTTCTCCCTCTCCTTTCTATATTTATTCCTCCCACTTCTTCCAGTATTTATTCTTCTCCTCTCATCCCATATTTATTTCTCCCTCTCCTTTCTATATTTATTCCTCCCACTTCTTCCGGTATTTATTCTTCTCAGTATTTATTCCCTCTCATCCACATATTTATTTCTCCCTCTCCTTTCTATATTTATTCCTCCCACTTCTTCCAGTATTTATTCTTCTCCCTCTCATCCACATTTATTTATTTTCTCCAGTATTTATTCTCCTTTCTATATTTATTCCTCCCCACTTCTTCCAGTATTTATTCTTCTCCCTCTCATCCACATATTTATTTCTCCTCTCCTTTCTATATTTTTCTATATTTATTCCTCTCATCCACTTCTTCCAGTATTTATTCTTATTTCCCTCTCATCCACATATTTATTTCTCCCCTCTCCTTTCTATATTTATTCCTCCCACTTCTTCCAGTATTTATTCTTCTCCCTCTCATCCACATATTTATTTCTCCTCTCCTTTCTATATTTATTCCTCCCACTTCTTCCAGTATTTATTCTTCTCCCTCTCATCCACATATTTATTTCTCCTCTCCTTTCTATATTTATTCCTCCCACTTCTTCCAGTATTTATTCTTCTCCTCTCATCCACATATTTATTTCTCCTCTCCTTTTTATTTATTCCTCCCACTTCTTCCAGTATTTATTCTTCTCCTCTCATCCACATATTTTTTTCCCTCTCCTTTCTATATTTATTCCTCCCACTTCTTCCGGTATTTATTCTTCTCCCTCTCATCCACATATTTATTTCTCCCTCTCCTTTCTATATTTATTCCTCCCACTTCTTCCGGTATTTATTCTTCTCCCTCTCATCCACATATTTATTTCTCCCTCTCCTTTCTATATTTATTCCTCCCACTTCTTCCAGTATTTATTCTTCTCCCTCCTCTCATCCACATATTTATTTCTCCTCTCCTTTCTATATTTATTCCTCCCACTTCTTCCAGTATTTATTCTTCTCCCTCTCATCCACATATTTATTTCTCCTTTCTCCTTTCTATATTTATTCCTCCCACTTCTTCCAGTATTTATTCTTCGGTATTTATTCCCTCTCATCCACATATTTATTTCTTCCTCTCCTTTCTATATTTATTCCTCCCACTTCTTCCAGTATTTATTCTTCTCCCTCTCATCCACATATTTATTTCTCCCTCTCCTTTCTATATTTATTCCTCCCACTTCTTCCAGTATTTATTCTTCTCCCTCTCATCCATATATTTATTTCTCCTCTCCTTTCTATATTTATTCTTTCCACTTCTTCCAGTATTTATTCTTCTCCTCTCATCCACATATTTATTTCTCCCTCTCTTTTCTATATTTATTCCTCCCACTTCTTCCAGTATTTATTCTTCTCCTCTCATCCCATATTTATTTATTCCTCCCCTTTCTATATTTATTCCCTCATCCACTTCTTCCCATTTATTTATCCGGTATTTATTCTCCCTCTCATCCACATATTTATTTCTCCTCTCCTTTCTATATTTATTCCTCCCACTTCTTCCAGTATTTATTCTTCTCCCTCTCATCCATATATTTATTTCTCCATCTCCTCTCTATATTTATCTTAGTATTTATTCCTCTTCTTCCTCCTTATATGCCTCCCTCTCATCCATATATTTATATCACCCTCTCCTCCCTATATTAATTCCTCCCCCTTCTCCTAGTATTTATTCCTCCCGTTTCCCCCCAGATTTCCCCTCTCATCCATATATTTATTTCCCCCTCTCCTTATATTTATTTCTCCCTCTCCTCTCTCTATTAATTCCTCCCATTTCTATTTACAATGATAATTTTCTCTTTCTTTACTCATTTGGCTCCACCCACTCAGAGAACTTGCGTTTTGGTTCGCCGTCTCATTCACTCGACGGTGGGAGGAAAACAAATTATATTAATCGATTTATGAGCAAGAAATTCAAGACATGTAATTAATTGTGCTAAGATGGGGTTTAGTTTTGTTGAACGAAATTCTTAATTAGCCTCGACCCCAATTACTCAGAGGATTATTTTCCCCACAATTGAAAAGTCGCTTCCTTATATCTACGCAAACAACATTGTTATTCGGTGACATGGAGAAATTTGCACGGCTTGGTCTTGCTAACTTTACATAATGACGAATGTAGCGATTTATCTCAATAATGACCTTGAAAGCATTCTCTAAAAATTAAGATGGTTATTGTATTTCACACACACATCTATCTATCTATCTATCTATCTATCTATCTATACACACACACACACACACACACATACATACATACATACATATATATATATATATATATATATATACACACACCGGGTGTAACAGCAAAATTGTCCAATTGTTAGATTAAGATTTGAATCGTTATATCTTAGAAATGATTAAAGATATCTTACTGGAATTCTTCGACGTTTTTATAGCTCTATTGGACTCTACTTTGAACACTAAGAATGCATAATTACCCACCAAGCTTAGCAGAAGAATCGTGATGAAATCGATCATAAACGAAAATGACATGTTCATCAGCTTAGATGATCATAGCTAAGGATCAGAAGCTCATGAAAGATTGATATAATGTTAATATATATATATATATATATATATATATATATATGTGTGTGTGTGTGTGTGTGTGTGTGTGTGTGTGTGTGTGTGTGTGTGTGTGTGTTAACCTTTTTTCTAACCTTTTATCTTTGTGTCCTGGAGTAACATGATACTAAACAGGTTTCATGTACGATTTTATTTTCAAGCCTTTTTCACCGTTCTTTGGACGATCATAACTGAAACTTCTTTATCACGTGCCAAACGTCTTATGGATTGAGTTGGATCTTTTCTAATTGATCCCTCCTTTATCCCTTTAGTTGAAATGACGATCTCCCTTCCTGTTGTGACCTGATCCAGTTTTCCTCTCTACTGTTCCCTCTTTTTTAAACTTATTCACCGTTTTCTTGATGGTTCTTGAATGGACTTTGAAGATGGAAGCCAGTGTATGAATGTTGGTACCATTACTGAAGGCCTGAACGATCTTTTTCCGCTCACCATTGCTCAGTTGGAAAGACAGTGGGTCTGACACAAAACGATTTTAAACTGTACTCGTTCTAGCTGAATAACTCAAAGGGATTTTCAGTGATTTATACGACAAAAGGTGTCAAGAGGGTTAAACGTCTTATTTGAAAGACTGGAGAAGACAAACTCAATTAGTTCAGTTTTTTTTTTTAGATATTAAACATTTTGTGGAATGGATAATTATGCTGTCATATATATATATATATATATATATATATATATATATATATATATATATATATATATATATAGAGAGAGAGAGAGAGAGAGATAGATAGATAGATAGATAGATAGATAGATAATAGATGAACAAATATGAATAGAAATAGATAGATAGAGATAGATAGATAGATAGATAGATAGATAGATATGAATAGACTGAGATAGATAGATAGATAGATAGACTAAAATATAGAGATAGAGATCGATAGATGATGTGATAGATAAAATAGATATAGATAGATAGATAATGATGAACAGACTAAAATAGATAGATAGATAGATAGATAGATAGATAATGAACAGACTAAAATGATAATAGACTAAAAATAGATAGATAGATAGATAGATAGATAGATATGAATAGACTGAGATAGATAGATAGATAGATAGATAGATAGATAGATAATGTGAACAGACTGAAATAGATAGATAGATAGATAGATAGATAGATAGATAGATAGATAGATATGAACAGACTAAAATAGATAGATAGATAGATAATGTGAACAGACTAAAATAGATAGATAGATAGATAGATAGATAAGACGAAAGATGTAGATTTAATAGGCCGGTTAATGAAATCTGAGGAACAAAAAGCCAACAAAAGGACTCACTCTTCTAACTATTCACTGGGTAAACCAAAATCCCTGTTTAATCCCTTTTTAAGGGATTTAGTTTTACTCAGATAACTATAATTTCTACGGGGAACCCTTTTTAAGGGATTTAGTTTTACTCAGATAACTATAATTTCTACGGGAACCCTTTAACCTACAACAATAACAATCCTCGGAAGAGTGAGTGCCACTTCTTTGTTTATTCCTTGTCTCGTTGAAAAAAGACACAGGCGTGTCCGAAAGTTCCGATTTTAAACTCTTTCTCTTCATGCTTCAATTTAGTCAAAAGGCTGACCAATACATAATAAATATTGTCAATCTTATTGCCAATATTGTTATCCTTTTGTTGCCATTTATTTCTCAAATTTTATTAACCGGCCTTTTAAATCTACACACACACACACACACACACACACACACACACACACACACACACACACACAAGAATATAAAATTAATTGGCTAAAGCGGAGTCAAACCACAGGGCGGATATTTAAAGACAGTGATCAATACACAATTCTAAAAAACTGAATGTGTTGAGCGGATAATAGTAATATAAAAGATTGAAAAAATCACCGGGTTTCAACCTTACTGTCTCTCAGGTGGTTTTTGGTGAATAATTAATTTGTAGCTCTATACTTTCTCTTTGTCCCGGGAAAATATAGCGCCATAAATTAATTATTTACCAAAAACCACCTGATCAGACCCTGAGGTTGAAACCCAAGTCGTGTTAACGGTGAATTTTTCAATCTTTTTCAATTGGGCTGTGTTTCCATTTAACACAATGCAATAAATTATTTAGATTAACTGCATTACTTAAAACGATTACTTCACTACCTGTGTAAATGTGAAAACAGCTTTAGTTAACAATTGTGTAAGTAATAGATGGCTATAAAAAGGCTCTGTTAATTATTTATGGCTAATTTGTTTAAATAATGCGCAAGCTATTGTTTGGGTCACATGGCAATAACTGTAAAATTATGCACTTAAATAAGTTCAAAATTCCATTTTTGAATAATTTTGTAATATTTTGAACCTAATGCTCGGATAAATTTAGAATTTGAAATTTGTAATTTAAAATTTTTAATTTTACTGTAAAATTAGACTTTAATTATTTCATACTGATTTCTAGTTTAATCTAACATTATTTAAACGCAAATTTAATTCATTTGTGAATAAGTCCTGAAATTTTCATTAAAATACGACAATTATTTGATTTTCGCAAGAATTTCCAATTCAATGTGTTTTTCATTGGTGAATGGTTTGTATTTAGAATACACTGTCACGTTTTTTGAATTTTCATATACTTGTATTCTGATTGTTTGTCATAGGTTATGTAACAATGTTTCCCTATTGGAGGGGTTTGATTTGGTTTTGAATTTTCAAAAATATCTTTATTTCGCAATCAAAACCATCACTTGATAAGACACCAGAAGTGTTGAAACAAAATGGCTATTTTTTAGTAATGTTATAACATGCTTATGTTATAATATATATATACAAAGAAATAATCACACATAGAATCAATCAGAAGTATTAATGCGATTATTGGCGACATCCATCGCTAGAAAACATAATGTATGCATTAAAATACTGTTCATCCATAGTGCGAGTTTGATCCTCGTCGATAAACTTGTTGTCTGTAGTTTTCAGTTTATCTGATGTTAAAATGCTAGTACTTACGAATAGTCCTCTATTCATCATCAGGCATGTGTTTTTTCCTTATAAAATCAAAAACTTGAAGACGATATACCTGTATGTTAACCGAAAGATGTTTTTTGAATATCTGCTATTATTGACGGTTGTGTAAGATCTCGGAACGTGCAAAGACACAACGCTAAGTTTTTCAAAATTTTAAGTGAGAATTTTATTTAAATATTTCTTGTGATGTGTTAAATCCACGTATTCTATTTTTACAAGTGTATTCAGTTTTTATGTCATTATTATAGTTCAATAATATAGTGTATAGTAGTTTTTTTTTATTTTTTATTTTTTTTATTTATTATGTTATATATATTATGTTATACATATATATATATATTTAATATATATATATATATATGCTCAAGCTAGAGGTTATCGACACAATCCAAAAACGGATATAAAATGTGATCCTGATTTGAGGTCTCGACTCCAGTCACTTTCTCACTGACTTAATATGGCTTCCCTTTGTCTTTTCTATAAATATTTTTATGGCATCTGCTCTGACGAGCTATTTTCACTGGTGCCCTGACTACATGAATTTAAGCATGCTATTAGGATGGCATCTTGGTCCCACACTTTTACTGCCTCTTCTACTACAACAGCTTCTTCTCTCACACTTCTTGACATTGGAACTCCCTTCATCTTACTTGCTTCCCTGACAATTATAATCTTCAAAAATTTAAGTGTAATGTCAATCGACATCTAGTTCCTTAATATCCGTTCTTCTTTTTTATCCTTTCCTCAATCCCCACCACCATATCAAGTCTTTTCCCATATTTTCACTCTCTGTAGCCCCTTGCGTACTAATGGCATTCCCGCCTTGCTTGGAATGAAGTGCTTAAAAAAAATAAAATTAAAATAAAATAATAGTTTTAGCGGTCGATATATTCGGTCTCTGATTGATTTTCATCATTTCTAGTAATTTAGTCATTCCTAGCAATATCCTTAAAAGCTTTCCATAAAACCAAGGTAATTGTCCGATTTTATATATGAAGGAAAGTAAAAGATTATCGGCACCCTTATATAATGATATACTATGGCGAAAGTGCGAATAATTTTTGACTTTACCCTCGTATTAGACGCACTAAACAAACAACTGATGTACGGTACCTGTTAACTGAATTCAAAGATTAAGTGAATGCTAAATTAACTTTCTACATTAAAAAAAAAACATTTCCATGCTCCTCTACAGTTCATAGCTCTCCACAGCTTTATTTTCTTTATCATCAGTGTATAACGCCTTGGGAAAGAGAGTTCAGTGATTTTCCTTTGCCTTACCCATAATTTTAAATTTTGAGTTATCATAGACTGGTTGCCATTCAAGGCTAGGGAGCCCTATCTAGCCGAGAAAGAAAAGGTGTAATCATGCCTTTTAGAGGGGGGGATTAGTGTGAATGTAAAGTAAAAGACAAGGCTGGAATTTGAACTCGTTTCCATGATTCCTCGTTGTGTACATCCTCAGATTTCCTTAGCAACTTAAATTTATGAGCTGATGTATGGATAAAAGAAAAAGGAAAAATCTGACATTACCCACAATATTAAATTATATTCCCAATATTAGAACACACTGTAATATGAAGAGAGAAGCACTAGTTTATGTAATAGAGAGATTCTCAAAACCTTTCCTCCCTTGTACACTTTCGTTCTATTCGACTGTTTTGTCGTACCATATGATATAAAATGCGTGGGTACCACGTCTAAGAGATAACAGATAAGTCCATATATACACACCTCTGATAAGATGTATAAGATTATCTTCAATAACTAAATTAATTCTAGGAGCAGTTTCACAAAAATGAACCCGTATATCATTCTCAATTAACTGTCATTCTTAGGTTTTGTTCATATTCATTGTGAAAAACTGTATTCACAACGGCATATGAATTCGAACAGCAAAAGGTTTTTCATGTTTATTTATTTCCTTAATCATTTCACCCCAAGCAAGGCAATAAAGCCACTAAGACGCAAGGGGGGGGGTTACTGAGTGGTATAGACTATAAGGAAAAATACTATTAAAGAGAGAACAGTAAAAGAATAAGAATTAAGAAAACAGATGATAATGACTGACATTGCCCTTACATTTTTGAAGATCAAAATTAACTGGGAAACAAGAAACCGGAAAAGAGTTCAGCAAGTGTGATAGAAGAAACTATTAGCATAGAACATGCGGTTACATCTAGCCATTTCAACTTTAAAATGATGAGACCTTGTCGCCAATCTCATACTGAGCTTAAATTCCTAAAGTCAAGGTACCATAGAGGAAAATTCAGCAGACGAATTACAATGAAATTGTTTATAGAAAAGGCACAGTTAACCTACGTCACGGTGACGGGATAGTGTCTGAAGACGAGATGCCAAGTCAAAATCAATAATATTACAGATTCTTTTTTGGATATTATCAAGAATCTCTAAATATATAGCAGGAACATCAAACTAGAAATGGCAGCAATATTCAAAGCAAGGATGAATGGCAGACTTATAATTATATGACATAAATACTGCTGAGAAAACATTTCTAGCCCGACATAATGAATCAACTTTCTTAGCAGCAGATTTAAGAATTGATTCAATATAATCTTTCCGCATGATGTCAGCGGGAAATGTTACCCCAAGAAGGCGCAATAAGTCACTCTCCTGGAGGTTAGCATCAGCCGTACCGATGGCTGGCAAAAACGGTTCTCTCACAAGATTAAAAGAGAACAGATTCGTTTTGGAGGCATTGAAATAAAAAAAAAAGTATTTGTTTTTCAGATATGTATGATTTCGACGTGAAACACTAACACTTTCTGTGGGGAGAAAAAAAAATCTTTGGTCACTGAATCATGAAAACATTCGATGGATTCATCTTGCGAATTTTATGGAAGGTCACTGGCTTTGAAATGGATTCCAAAGGAGTCGATAACTAAATTCATTTATAACTACAAACCCAATCGTTAATACCAAGCTTGGAGGAGTGGATGGTGCAATGGATAACGGCTCGGATTTGGAGAACCGAGTTCCAATTCCAGTCGGGTTCGTTATATTCACTTACTTTCCTTTGGGAAAAGCATTAATCCAACTCTTCTCCCTCCACCTACAGGTTAAATAGTAAGACTTGTATCTGGAAATTATAACTCTCTTAAAAAATTGTTATAACCTAAAAAAAAATGTTCTGTGTTTAAATAACCTGCAGAAGGTTGATAAGCCGTCGAAAATGAATGACTCTTTTGTGCAAACAGAATGCATATATTTACTACTTTGTCTTACCCTAGAAATCGATTAATGATCTGGTATGGGATTGTAATGAATATTAATAATAATAATAATAAAGAAGAAGAAGAAAAAAAGAAGAAGAAGAAGACCTACTGATGCAATGTGTGATAAATATAGTATGATCTGAATAAGACATCGCTGATTTAAACTGATTTTCGCTTTTTATAAGAATTTGATCGCTCAGACATTTTACAGAGAATAATTTGTTAATTATAATTGGATGAACGATGATAAGGTAATATGGATTAATTTGCTGATTAGGACCCGCGCTTAGTTTGCATTAAAAATTCCCGAATACTTACATTTAGGTGTAAATATACATGCTTCATTCGAAATGACTTGATAAATTTGATAAAATCTACCGTTTTTGAGTTATCGACAGTAATATTTTGGATTCATTCGCGTCATTGTCGACAGCAATTACTGGCGTTGTTTGCAGACATTCGCTACGGAAAGCTAAGCGCGGAAGAATGTAGTTAACGGCCTTATTTTTACTGATCTTACTCGTCTCAACTTGTCTTAATTACTGCGCAAGAGAACTATATTGCATGCGTAATAATCAAGACAACTGAATATTCCGCAGCAAATGTATGCAAACAACGTCTAGCCACAGTCTGTCTGTGGATGACTATATATATATTAATATATTTTATTGTTATATGTTATTTATATAGACACAAATATTTAAGTAAATGGTCTGTTTATAATAACAGTATTAACAACATTTACCGGTCTGAACATTATTATTATTATTAAACAGCTTTACTTAAATATTTGTGTCTATATAAATAACGTATAACAATAAAATATATTAAAATAATTATCAGACTTTGTCCATTTCATAGTTTTATATATATATATATATATATATATATATATATATATATATAGCATAATGAGAAGCCACGTATACTTTCTTAATATGTATATATAGAAAAAGTTTCAAATTAAAAATTATAATGTTTTATTTTATGAAAGTATTTATTTATTTATATATATATTTGATATTTCATATTGTCCTCAATTTTTCATCAGAAATAACTGTTTGTTACAAATAAATTAAAATTACTCTTTGTTGGCAAGTAGCGTCCTTCGAGTGACGCGGACGTCACGTGATATGGAACGTCACTGTTCAGATATTCCTAACTTAAATCTAACTGTCATAAATATTTTAAAAAATATTTTTTTACTATATCTAAAGAAATTGCTTAGCTATTGAAATATTTATAAAGATTTAAAACACCTATATATATATATATATATATATATATACATACACTGTTTATATTGGTCAGACTATTGTTCTCATCTTTATTGCCATATTCACGATGTTTCGGCCGTTGTACGTTCCGGCTTTCTTCAGGTGATTGGAATTTCGAACAGAACCCTTTATTCCGACCACCCGGGTAGATTGTTCTACTTCCACCTGCGATAGATATATCAGTTTCACTTCGCTCCCTTTAGTACTGAACTCACAACTCTTTGGGTCATGGCACTGGATTACTTTAACCAACGCTTTTATTCTTGGGAACAACGGTGTGGGAATTTCTGGGTCTCAGTTCCCATTTTTTTTTTTTTTTACCAGAGCCTCATATTACAATTTGTTGCTGTTATTATTGTTTTTCACTAGCTTTCTGTATTACTGGTTTCAATATTGTATTCAAGTATATGCTTGGCCGGCTTAGAAGACTTTTGTTTCCTAGCATATAAGCTGATTCCTTAAGTTTTCGTATCTTCTAGTGATGTTCTAGTGATGTTATTTCAATTTCATCCTACAGTTGATAGACATTCGGATTACTAACACAAAAACAGAGAATGTCTCATATCGAGAATATTTAACATTGAAAAACATAAGGAAAAAATTAATTATTTTTAATCTCCGCCATTTACCTGAAGACGGTCTCGAGACCAGAAACACGTGTAGTAAAAGTATGGAAAATAAAGCATAATATTATTTTTTAAAAAATCCACATTACAACCAAAAACGTTTGCGTCACCTCTCTCCTCTTCTTTTTAATATGCACACTTTTCTGTCGTTGGAACCACTATAACCACTTTTGGAACCACCGTTGGAACCCTTTTTATATATACACACACACACACACACACACACACACACACACACACACACACATATATATATATATATATATATATATATATATATATATATATATATATATAATGACTGGCTACTTTTGCTTTCCAAGCACATCAATTATCTGCTAGGTGGTTAGCGACTCCCCGTTGCAGATACATGCTCAGGCACATTTTGTTTCGTTAATACCCACAGAGCCTATCTGTGGTTTATACTGTAACTATTCTGATCATTTACAGTTTCTGGAAGAATGTTCATAATCTAGCATAATCAGCAGTTTGTACAAATGACTAAGTTGTACCAAGAATTCTGTTTTGGAATAGATTCTTGAGCGAGAATCTTCAGCACCCTTTTATCTATCTATCTATCTATCTATCTATCTATCTATCTATCTATATATATATATATATATATATATATATATATATATATATATATATATAATGGTGGACTCTCCCGTCGTATTCGACGTATGAGGGGTCAAGCAGCTCAGTTCCTAGGAACCGGCAGCCCAGACACCACCATATATGATTTGATTATAGTCGTGAAGGCTTTGTTCAGAACCAATCACACTTTTTGAAGGGCCGAATACAGAGACCAGTTGCACTACGTGACCCAAGGTCCCCAAATGACCCTCCGTAGGTTTTTGAATTCAGAGTTGTCCTTCTCCTAGACCAGTTGCCATCCAGTCTGTCCTGCTATATATATATATATGTATATAGATACACTTAGTCAGGAAAGTTTGGCCAAACTTTCCTGACGATCCGTTTAGGTGAAACCTAGGTAGGTTTGTCTGGGCTCACTAGGTGTATCTAGGGTCTGCTCTACGGTTGTATTGAGCTCTTTTGTTAGTTAGTTGTTACTCGTATCGGGGTTTTTCTTTGGGCTTCAGACCTGCATCTGTGCGATTTTTTGTCGGCAGAAGTTCATGTTTGTAGCTCTTTCTTTTTTAAAACCTTTTTTCCCTCGAGATTGATTTGATTAGCAAATCAAAAATTCGAGGGTTTTTCGAAACGAGTCTAGTTATCTATATTTATATGTATATATGTATATATATATATATATATATATATATATATATATATATATATATATATATATATATATATATATATATATATATATATATATATATAGAGAGAGAGAGAGAGAGAAAAGAGAGAGAAATGCATGACCATTAGTGAGGAAGTGACAAAAGAGTGTCTACGCCTGACTCTCTGTGCAGCCTTGTAGATTCATGATGGCTCATTTAGGTCTTGGACTAATCACTGCACATTCCATTCGTCTGCAAACAACATTTCTGCGTGTTGAGAAGAGGTTAGAGAGAGAGAGGGAGGGGGCGTATGTGGGTGGAACAAGCCATTTATAACGGGGAGGTAAAGGCAGTGGGCAAATTATGTTCTTGTTATTTGTCATTATGTGGTAAACATATCTCAATGTCAAATCTCAACGTTTTCTTTACTTATTTTCAATTGTATTTGTTCATATAATTCTTACTTTTTGTTTCTGTTCATTGAAGTCTTTCGTTCTTTCTTCCTTCCGCCCTGTTCTTTCTTTCTTTCTTTCTTTCTTTCTTTCTGTTTGCTTGTCTTTTTTCTTTTCTTCTTCATCGCTTCTTTTTTATACCTATTTTCAATTGTATTTGTTCATATAATTCTTAAGTTTTCTTTTCTGTACATTGAAGTCTTTCGTTCTTTCTTTCTTTCTTCCTTCCTTCCTTCCTTCCTGTTCTTTTTCTTTTTTCTTTCTCTCTCTGTCTTTCTTTCTTTCTTTGTCTTTTTTCTGTTTGTTTGTCTTCTTTTTTTTCTTTATCGCTTCTTTTTTATACTTATTTTCAATTGTATTTGTTCATATAATTTTTCTTACATTTTCGTTTTCCGTTCATTGAAGTCTTTCGTTCTTTCCTTCTTCTTTCCTGTTTTTTTAACTTTCCTTCTCTTTCTTTCTTTCTTTCTTTCTTTCTGTTTGCTTGCTTGTCTTTTTTTTCTTCTTTATCGTTTCTTGATTATCTATTTTTTAAATTTCCTTTTATGCATTTAAATAATAATACTACTACTACTACTACTATTAATAATAATAATAATAACTCTTATTTTATAACCATTGACTTTTCATTAAAATAGTATATAAGTACTCTGACTGGTGATCAAATGACAGCGATTCTTCTCAAGAATCTACGCAGCAATCTTGCTGATTTCAATAAGGCCCAAAAGCCAGTCATTACTAAATGAGGTGTGTGTATGAATATATGAGGAGAAAGGAGAAAGTGAATCCTGTGATGATTTGGATTTTGAATACTTGTTTATTCTAGATTTGAATAGGTCAAGATTATAGTGTTCAAGGAAGCATTCACTCGGGTGTGTCTTAGTGGTTATCAGCATGGAATGTAGAATTCGGACTAAAACACATGTGTATAACGCTTAATAAAATAGCGAAAAATTGAAGTAATTTGATTTTTTTTCTATTATCTTAAAGACGACCGAGACGAGAGGACCAGTTCGTCGAAATGCTGTAGTAACGACACCAGTGTGACACTATGAATGGGACACCCACACAGAAGAAAAAGGTATGATTTTTATGTTTATATTAAGTGTTTCGTGTTTTACGCCGGTGGACATATTCTTTGACCGAAAAGAAACAAATAAATAAATAAATAAATAAATAAATAAAAGAAAACTTTTGGTGCTAGGTGACAACAAGACCGGACATTGATGGTTTCCAGTTGCTGATTTATATTAAACGTCACGGTTGGGATTGAAAAAACAAAATCTGTTTCGCTCGTGGCGGGCGTCAAACTGTCCATGGGTAGTTCCGATTGTTCGTGTTGCCAGCCATGTTAAATTGGGCCGAGAGTTGGTTGGAGGAATCGTCAAATGGAAGAGCAACATTTTTTTTTTTTTGTCTGACATGATAGAAGTTATTCCAAGTGTCGCCTACCTACTCACCCAGATGGAGCAAACGACGCCCTGAATAAAACGTCAAAATATATTAGAAATTAAATTTGAATTTTCATTTTTTTTGCTGTGGCTTTTGTTTTTATCTTTTTTTCTTTGTGAACGTGTAGCGAGCCTTTTCGAGTTTTTGGTGTCTACCGACGCCAACGAGAATGGAGATGCAATGTGGGTAGTCAAAGAGGCTGGTCGGTGAAATGTTATGTGGGGTGACACGCTGCATGTTTACATTAAGACCGCAAAGGAATTCAGTTGTCCAAATTAGTAAGCATCTTTTCATTGAATCTGGGTCTTCATGATAATAGCATCCCTTAGTGATAATAGCATCCCTTAGTGATAATAGCATCCCTTAAGTGATAATAGCATCCCTTAAGTGATTTGATATCTTTTCACAATTTAGTATGACGTTGTCCATAAGTAATTATCATTTAAATGGATTTTCGGTTATTTGAGCACATTTTGTAATTTTATTAATCCTCAAAATTTCAGCCGATGCATTCTGCTGCCACCTTCAGGAATGCTATCAATGTTTAAAGCGACTGTTATATTTTGTAATGCCAACTAAAACGCAGTATCAAAGAAAAACGTTAAATGATAACAAAAATGCTTGTCAAATAAGTTATTGCATTTAATATTCCCCAACACATGCAGCACAGTTTGTTTCATAATTTTAAACCTGGAGACGTTCTCGGTTTATTTTTGTTAAACAGGGAATCCTACACGATATTGGACTGTGAGAGCCACACATTGTTTAAATCTATACTCGCTTTAGTATCTCAGGCTGACAAATTGCTTAAGTCAGACTAGTATGGATTTCAACGGTGGGTGACAACAAAAAACATACACAATCAGGTCAATGACCGAAAATTTCTTTGAATGAAGGAAGTTAACACGGATTGTTTAATATTAATCAGGAGAAATATTAATTGCAAGAGAGACTAACAAACATTTTTGTAATATTTTATGTCAAAATAAAAGCGTTTTGTTCAAGAATTTAACTTCTGTTATGGCGGAATAGTGACATGAGATGATATAAAATTCGGTTACCTAGTCGGACGATAGACAAATAAAGAAGACCAGAGTGAAGAACGGACGAAACCTTGGGAGTACAACAACCAAGATGATCATGCTGAGCCGAAATAGCAAAACATATGAGGATTTACAATTTCAAACTCGAAATATAAAAATGCTTTAGTCTGTCGTCTTAAGTTGTCTGACATTTATTCGATGAAAAGCATTTCTACCGAGCTTTTTCCATTTTATTGTTGCCTGTTGTCAGACGGACTTCCAAAATATGAGATACTAGTTCTAATTTCGTTAAAGTCTACCCATTTATTTCCAATGCGTTAGTCTTAGATGGAATTGCCACGGCATTATTACTGTATGGGTTTCAAACATCCCACTTAAAATATTATAGCTATATGATGTAGTTTTTAATTTTTTTTTTTACATTTGATCGAGTGTTCTTTATCATTTTATACTGTGTTATCGTTCGCTTTTTCCATATCATGATCGCCGGAGTTTGTTTCTCTTGTTTTCCAAATATTTTAATCTTACCCGTCGCGTGAAGGTGACGAGCGACGGTATCATGAGAGCATCCATCTATTGGGCCAAGTCCTTAGTGAATTGGCGTAGATTCTTTTAGATAAGTTCGTTCAATAGATCCTCATCGAACTGAACAGGTTCGACCGGAACGCGAAGCGGCTGTAAAGTCGAAGTTCACTTTCTTGAGGCGTCAAAAGCATTCCTGGAAAGTTCTTTCTCTCCGTGCACAGCACAAATGGCTCAGACAGCTTTGGAAGAGATGGGACCTTGATTGAAGTCAAGGAGAAGCAGGCGCCGATAAGGCTCATTTTTATCTACTCGCCACTCCATCGGCATATGTCTGAAAAGAGGTAAAATTCAATAAAATTTCAAAAACGACAAACGAATGTTGTAAAGAAGGAATAGACCTATAAAAACTATAGAATATTGCTGTAAAATTATTTTGCGTGTTAATTCAAATAATATCAGAAAGAACGGATGAATTTATCTGACAACCCAGTAGGATAAATAAAAATGAAAAAAAAAACGAAATTTTTATTTAAAAATGTTTTGCTGTCTTATGTAGCCATAAGAGTAAAATATGGAAGCTATATTGATGGACAATTACAAGTTATTTATTATGTTGTCAGTATAGTAGGCGAGATTTCGTTGGCTACATTCCTAGCATTTCCACAGAACTGAAATTTTGAATCAATTAACATATGACAACTGTTATTAGATAACACCAAAGCACTCTACAGCATCAGTGCAAAGAAATAAATGAAAACACAAGAAACCATTATTGTAGGAAAGAAAGAAATCACATTAAAATGAAATATTTTCGCCACAGGAGACGGTATCTTGAAGTAGGTATTAAATATTTTATATGCGGAAAAAATAATAATAATAATAATAATAATAATAATAATAATAATATTTCATACGTGCTTTTTCGGTGTGGTTTCAGGCGCTTTAACTGCTACACATCACGTTATTTAGGGCTGATTCGAACTTTTTGCTCTGTAGAAATATTAGGACGTCGCCAACGTGATGTTGCCTACCATACAGACAACACATGGTTTTTGATAATGACTGAGACTGGAGACGGTATCAGAATAAACAGAATAAACGTTGACTTACGACAGTTTATCCACAGTTTCGATCAAGATATTCAACAATTCGAAAATTGGAAAAATACAACAAAATCATCAAACAAACAGACCCTGTGGGTTGAATTTGATAATTTGTGCTGTGGCCTTGTTAGGGCCAGAAATAAAAACATAGAGAAAGGAATTGAGTTCAATATATTAACAGAAACAATAATACAAACAGATACAAACGAGAGTGTTACAGAAAGAATGTTTGGTGAGACTGTCAGAGCTGACTTCTGGAAACTTCCCTCTCCAAGAGGCAGTACCTGCTCCTATTTATAGCTGGGAGAGTCCATGCGTGCGTGGATAAATTACCACAACAACTAGATAATAAACAAATAATATGGCGTGAGTAATCGTGTAAGGAACATATATCTATATGACTAAAGATTTGACTTCACTTAGCCGCCTGGTCACCATGACCGAATTATTAAAGGCGATATTCATGCCAGACGTATGTAGGATACAACTTTAAATCTGATTTGAAGTAGTATCTTTATTTTCGATCCACACTGCTTATTTTAAAATATTTTGAACTGGTTTTCCTCGTAAGAAAACTAGCAACCAAAACACGCAAACGTAATATGAAACTAAAGAAGACGAAAAGAATACAACAAATTCATACAATATGACTAGATGACTATAAATAAATCGAATGTTTTTGGCTCGATTATCGGTGAAGAGGGTTCCAGAATAGAAATAATTGCACGAGCAGCACAAGTAATGTCAGATGTCGCAAAAGTAGAAATCATCTGCAAAGGCAAAAACATCTGGCTGAGAAATCAAAGAT